CACCAATCAATTTTTTATTTTTAGCAGAGACATAGCAGGAAATCCACACCACTTCCCTGGCTTGGCCTGAGGACTTTCTAGACAAAACACATCCACTGGCCTGGCCAGCAGGAGCAATAAGGCTGGGCTGAATTTGATCCTCTGTAGGTCTCATTCCATCTATCTGTAAGATGAAGGACCGCCTAAAATTAGATTGTGGATCTCATCCTAAAACTAGACATGACTTCCACTAGCAATCTCTTCAACTGAAGCCATTAGCAAAACCTGGACTCTGACATTAGGTCCGGGACCTTTCCTCAGAAGCAACTCTGTGGGTAAGAGCAAGTTGGGGATCTGGCAACCTATAACATGCAGGGACCTAGGAGTGTATAACAAATTTTGTCCCTTTTGTAACTACCTCTTCAAGTTCTACTCCTTTTTCAAATGCCAGTTCAAACCCTCCTTCCTCTAAGAAATCTTCCCAACCTCCTAGTGATAACTCCTTACTCTACTGTGTTACTAAATTTGTGCTTCTATAATCAACTGTCTGCTGGTTATCAATCTCTAGTTCCCATTAGATCATACACCTTTGGAGTCTGGAATGCTGTCTTATCTCAGAATCTTCAAGAACCCAGGATGATATTTTGTCTTCAGTGTTTACTAACCTTGAATTAATGACAAGTTCCCATTACGAGTTACTTAGAAAGATACCAAGGGGCTTTTAGAAGGCACTTCTTACTATATTAATGTCTCAAATGTAATGGCAGTATACAGTTGACTCTCGAACAACACAGGGGTTAGGGGCACCAACCCCTGTGCAGTCAAAAATCCACATATAAGTTTTGACTCCCCAAAAACTTAACTACCAATAGCCTACTACTGACCAGAAGCCTTACGGAAAACATACAATCAATTAACATATTTTGTATGCTATATGTATTATATACTGTATTCTTACAATAAAGTGAGCTAGAGAAAATTATTAAGAAAATCATAAGGAAAATAAACCTACAGTACTGTACTATATTTATCAAAACAATCCATGTATAAGCAGACCAGTGCAGTGCAACCCATGATATTCAAGGGTCAACTGTAATATATGTAAAGTATAATAAATATACTCATGCCTCCACATGCTGATCAGATGCTGCCTCCTCCAGGAAGCAAGGCTTCACTGATTCTCTTGATGGGAAGTAGGTGCGTCTCCTACATAGAAGAACCCTGTTTACTTGTCCCCTCCTCTAAACCACCAGTTCCTTTAAGGCAAAGTCTTTGTCTTTTATCTCTGTATTCCAAATGCCTGATAGATGGTACATGCTAATAAATGTTTACTAAAGGAATAACAAATAAAAGAAGGGAGAGGGTAGTGAGGGATAAGAGAGTTAAACAACAACAACAGCAAACACCCAATTAACCCATTTAGCAAATGGGCAAAGGAAATGAAGAAACATTTCAGGAAAGAGGGTCTACAGACGGCAAGCAAACACGAGAAGATGTTCTACATCATTAGCAGGCGGGGAAATGCCAATAAAAACCACAACGAGTTAGTACTCCACACCTATCAGAATGCATAAAATAAAAAAAAAATAGTGCCCACAACAAATGCCGATAAGGATGTTGATCACTCACGTGTTTCTGGTGGGATGAAATTGGTACCATTCTGGGAAATGAGGCTGGCAGTTTATTTTATTTTATTTTATTTTATTTTTTTAAAGATTTTATTTATTTATTTGAGAGAGAGAATGGTAGAGAGAGAGCATGAGAGGGAAGAGGGTCAGAGGGAGAAGCAGACTCCCCGCCGAGCAGGAAGCCTGATGCGGGACTCGATCCCGGGACTCCAGGATCATGACCTGAGCCGAAGGCAGTCGCTTAACCAACTGAGCCACTCAGGCGCCCGGCTGGCAGTTTATTTTAAAACTAAATATGCAATTACTATGGGACCCAACAATTGCACTCTTGGGCACCTGTCCCAGAAAAATAAAAGCTTATGTTCACACAAAAACAAGCACGCAAATGTCCATAGCGGCTTTTTCTGTAATAGCTTAAAGCTGGACGTCCTTCACCAGGTGAATGCCTAAACAAACCACAGTCCATCCATCCTGGAGCACTCCCGAGCAATAAGGAACCAACTATTGATACACTCGACAACTTGGATGGATTTCCAGGGAATTTGCTGAGTGAAGAAAGCCAATCCAAAAGATTACATATACTCTCTGATT